ACCATATCTAAAGATTACAATAATCAAAGAATATTCTAAATATTCTAACTAAGGAAATTAACAATTATTTTCAAACTTGATCAATTATCTCATGATTTCAACACTCCACCTCAAGTTGGATCATAAATATTTATCCTATCTAACTTGAAGATGAAATCATTGAATTTTTGTTTAGATAGTCCCTTGGTGAAGATATCTGCAGTTTGCTCTTGCGTAGGGACATAAGTCATGCAAATAATTCATTTCTCAACATTTTCTTTGATAAAGTGTATGTCTACCTCCACATGTTTAGTTCGATCTTGCTGAACTGGATTAAGGGAAATGTTAATTGCTGCTTTATTATCACAGTAAAGTTTGACTGGTGGATTTATTGTGACATGCAATTCTTCTAGAAGTTTCTTTAACCATAGCCCTTCACGTATTCCATGTGCAACAGCTCTGAACTCAACTACAACACTACTTCTGGCTACTACATTTTGTTTTTTGCTTTTCCAAGTTACCAGGTTTTCCCATACAAAGGTCCAGTAACTAGTAGTAGACCTTCTATCATCTATTGATCTTGCCCAATCTGCATCTGTGAAGACTTCAACTTCTTTTCTTTCACTCCTTTTGAAGAATAGCCCCTTTCCTGAAGAGCCCTCGAGGTATCTGAGTATTTTATAGACGGCTTCTAGGTGGCTTTCCTTAGGAGCATGCATGTGTTGGCTTACCAAACTAACTGCAAATGCGATGTCAGGTCTGGTGTGTGACAGGTAGATTAGCTTTCCAACTAATCTTTGATATCTATCTATTTCTACTGGATTTCCTCCATCGTCAGTTTTCATTCCCATATCTATAGGTGTATTGCTTGGTTTACATCTTAGCATGCCAGTTTCGGTTAGAAGATCAAGAACATATTTCCGTTGTGATACACTGATGCCTCGTTTTGATCTAGCAACTTCCATTCCCAGAAAATACCGCTTTGATCCTAGATCTTTTACTTCAAATTCGATAGCAAGACTCATTTTTAGTCTTTCCATCTCTACTATATTATCTCATGTCAAAACAATATCATCAACATATACGATTGGAATAGTTTTAGTGCCGTTTTCAAATCGAAGAAATATAATATGATCTGACTGTCCTTGGCGGTATCCTTAGCTCTTCAACACTCTTGCAAATCTGCCAAACCATGCTCTTGGTGACTGCTTGAGTCCATATAAGGATTTTTTCCGTTTGCATACTCAGCCTTTTTCCTCTGTGCAAAAACCTGGTGGTAGCGTCATGAAAACTTCTTCCTTCAATTCCCCATTCAAGAATGCATTTTTAATGTCCAGTTGCAGAAGTGGCCAATCCAAATTTGCGGCTAATAATAGAAGAACTTGAATGGTATTCAACTTTGCTACTGGCGCAACTGTCTCTGTGTGATCAATGCCGTAGTTTTATGTCTATCTTTTGCCACCAACCGTGCTTTATACCGTTCTATTGTCCCATCAGCTGTGTATTTCATAATGAAGATCCATTTACATCCTACGGGTTTCTTTCCCTTCGGTTTAAGGTAGTGAATGGTTCAAAGTATTTTTTCCAATGCACGCATTTCTTCCAATACCGCCTCTCTCCATTCTGGAATTCCTAATGCCTCCTCAATATTTTTTGGAACAACTGTTCTATCAAGGTGAGCTGTAAAAGTACGGAATCCTGTGGATATAGCATCATAGGACATGAATTTTGAAATGGGATGTCGAGTACATGACCGAGGTTGTTTTCTGCGAGCAATAGTCAAATCAGAATAAGATATTTGTGATATTCTCTGATAATCTGGAGTTATCATCGGTTCTGACTCTCTTGGACTTGGTGCTTCAATTGTGAGATTCTCTATACACTTTGATTTTGGCTTTCGTGAATAAACCAATATATCTTTATCAGTTTGGTTTTCTACTTCTCCCCTTGGATTCAAGTGTCCATCTGTCAATGACATATTAGAATCAGATAGTGGAATAGGTAGGGTAGGCGCAGGAGGAAAGGAACTCAGGTCAAAGAACTGATCTTCATGTATTGTCTCCCCCTGAAGAGAGGTTTTTTTGAAGTACGGAGTATTTTCGAAGAATGTGACATCAAGGCTTACAAAGATTCTCTTTGTGAAGGGATCATAGCACTTGTACCGCTTGCGTTCATGTCCACTCTCATCAAAGAAATAAACTTGATCTCCGGGAAATCAAATGTGTCCTGCTTAGATATTCTCCTACACAAAATGGGTACAAGTGCTATGATCTCTCCGGCTTTCCTCGCGTCGGACTTCTGCGAATACTTCCTTCGTCAATAGTAAAGGTTTCCGGCCAAGAATCTGTCCCCTAACATCATCTAGGTCACGATTTAGCCCTGCCAAGAACTCAAAACACTTTTTCATTTTCCAATCTTTTCTTGAACCGAGCACTATCGCCCGTGCAATTCCACTGTTCTTCAGTACTCAAGTCGAGTTCTTACCACAAAGCTGTCATCTCCAGGTAGTATTTAGTGACCTCTCGATCGCCCTGCTTAATTTGCCAAAGTTTTGTCTTCAGTTCGAAAATTTAGGCTGAATTCTCAGAGTCTGAATAAGTCTTCTTGACAGCATTCCACACATCTTTTGCTGTCCCGACAGCAGGAACAAGTAGGTCTTTCCAATCGTGGGTTTCATGGAGATTATTAGCAAGACAATCGCCATGGAATTCTCCGACCTCCATTTTTTAAGAAGGGCGGGGTTGGTTGAGGCCGTCTTTGCAATTTGTCCAGTGAGGTAACCTAATTTCCCTTTTCCATCAATAATTAACTTGATAGACTATGCCCATTCTCGATAATTCTTCCCATTTAGTTTTCAACCATTAATTGGAATGAAGAATTTTCTCCCGAACCTATGGCAGACATAATTTCAGATTCACTGTTGAAAGAGTCAAAGGTTGTGGAGCCTCTGCTATTGGCGGTGGCTTCTGTCATGAATTTCCTAGGTTAGGAACACACCTAGGCTCTGATACCATGAAGAGAAAACCTTTATTTTCTTCCTTTGAATTATGTAGAGTACACGCCCTTACTTATAGTACATGAGGGGAGAGCATAAAAGGAAAAGAAAAAATTCCTACCAAATCTAAAGATTACGATAATCAAAGAATATTCTGAATATTCTAACCAAGGAAATTAACAATTATTTCCAAACTTGGTTAATTATTTCGTGATTTCAACACACCATTCCAACTTTTTCTTGTCCGACTCCCAGATTTTGAGATGATTAAGAAATAAGAATATCAGCATTAGCACTTGTGACAACCAATAGTTATTCTATGATCTCAATATAAAAAGTGTCCATAAACAATGCCTTGAAAAACGATATCACCACCAACTTGCCTCGTCATGTTAAATTGCTGGATTTATGTTTTTGTCAAAAACTAGCTTTCGGATTTATAAGGCCTTGTGTTGAATAAGGCCAGTTTCAATGAAATAAACCTTAGATTCTAGATCATAACTCTTGAGTTGTGAATCGACATAATTGACATCATAGATTAAACTCTACAAACTAAATAATAATTTAAAAGGGCAAAGAAACTAGCAAGAAATTATGAGACATACCCACGAATAGGAATCGAGAGATTACTTGCTGCTAGGGCAACATCGCGGTAACGAGCAAGGCTATCTTTAATGCTGCAATTGATGTTTGACTGGGAAAAGGACTCAGAAGCTGCAGCAAAGATGGCCACTTCCTTTGCTCCAGCCGAAACAGCAGCCTCAAACCCCTGGAATAAAGTCAAAAGGATTACAAAATCCCTGAACAAGTTGCAATACCGAACTCTAAATGTTGTCATCTAAATGAGAAAGCAGCTTACTTTAAGATTTGGTGTCAAAACAGGACATCTAGAACCCACAATACCTTGAATTGCAGAGACTACGTCCTTTGCATCAGCTAACTGCAAATTGATATATAAAGAATTAAAGTATCTGGAAATAAAACTTACTTGAAAACAAATTGAGAGCTGCATAACTGAAAGTAAAATCACTTGATGAGAGCATCAAGTTTGTTATCCACATTGAATGAAAGCAATGAAACTTTGAGAGAATTACAACTATAGCACCAAGCAGAATATACAGAGAAAGAAAAATATGGATTACAAAGGCTATATTTGGTTGATTTCCACAGAGAAGCGCAATGAATCATCTTCAGTATATTTTCTCTTGAAAACAATATTATGTGAAGCCATATTTTTATTCTAGTAGTTCATATCGACTAAAACTGCACTCTCAACTTTAACTGTCTCCACCCCATTGCTATTGCTACGCTTCGTTATTTGATGCTTCTAATAAAATCTTCATTCAAGTAATATTTTAGGTTCCTTTATCACCCAATAAAATTGGTTCTGCAATGTAGTACAACATACAAATGTCATTTGTCTTTCAAAATCCAGGGTATTCTTGCAAATGACTATTACACAAAGTACGCACGCAATAAAACCATGTTTGCTTAAAACATTTCTGTAAAGTGTTTTATTGGGGTGGAGCTGGTATTTTTCCCAATTCCTTTATGGATCTTACAACTACTATGTTCTTTTTCATATTATTCTGAGGTTCTTTTCAACATCATACGATCTCCTCTGTTTTATTTTTCCCACTCCCCACCCACAACCCAATATTTAACTACAGGCAATACCATCCACCAATTTGCCACCCGCCTTCGAACACACTCATGGGCCTGCCGCCTACCTTCGGCAATAAAATTTTATAGGCTTGACTAGATATAAAAGCCTGAATTATGAAACTTCTATGGAGGACCCATTAATAGTCATATTGGATGATGTTGATGAAATACATTTTACTAGAATGAATATCACTTGGTGCTCATCTCTTTATAAGAATAAAGAAATTCCCACAACAATAGTGATCACAAGGATAGAAAACAGATATAAATACGAACTCATAAAGCTAGAGAGTTGATGAAAACTGGAGGCTCAAAGAGATATCACATCATTCAAGAAAGTTTGTAATTATCTAAGCACACAAAGAAAAATCTAGCAAGACAAAGGTTAAGCTGTGGGGAGAAAAAAATATCAACTAGAAGTCCTTCAAGTGATAAAAACACAAAATCAAACACAGCTATATATGTTAATCATATGTATTGAACAGTGATAACATATTTACTTGTGGTATCCATTTTGGCGAGACAAAACTAGTAGCTTCGACAACAGGCAACCCTGAAGAAACTAGCATCTTTATTAGTTCAACCTTCACCGCAGTCGGCACAATCTCCTTCTCATTTTGCAGCCCATCCCTTGGACCGACTTCCACAATCGTCACAGATTCAGGAATAGATCCCAATAACTGCAAGATCAGATTAAAACCTATGGCACCGCAATCATTGAAAGAAAGAAAAAGAAATATAGAATGCTGTACAAAATTAAAGAATCTAATTTCTCAGCTGAAATAAAGCAAGAAACATTTTAATTTTTTAAGAGGATATAGCTGTCCGGTATCCAAAGTAACCTCAAGAGATTTTGTTTAGATAGCAGGAAAGTTACAAAAAGTGTTTCTTGTAAGGAGAGAAGTAAAGGAAAGAGAACAAATTTTGTACAAGCTTAGTTTAATGGAGTCTTGAAGGAAAACACGATGGCTATGTCGGAATAATGGGTTGTTGAAATTTTGCATCAAAATCCTTTGCCTTTTTTTTTGCGACATAGAATCCTTTGCTTTTTGTAGTACAGAAAATGCGTGGTCTTTGTTCATATTATATCTGAGGTAATAGAAAAGCATAATAAAACATAAAGGCAGGTCAACAATGCAAAATACCTTATGGTTAATAATTCTTTCAGGACTGAGACTGTGTTGTGAGCTATAATGATGATGAGGCATGTAAAAAGCACCATTTATGTTTCCCATGGTTTCTGGTGCTTGGTAAAAGGAAAAATTCTGCAAGCCATGCTTTGCTTGGCTTTGTGATAAAAATGCTCTTTTGTTCTCCGTGCTACAAAGAAAACACTTGTAAGTCCTTGTTAGAGGGAGGAAGAAAGATCATCAGTTAAGAATAAGGTGGGTAAAAATTATGAACAAAGATGAACATGTACTTCTCATCCCATGATACAAGAAAAAGGTAAAATAATTTTGCACAGCATTCTATTTTTCACACACAACAATTCAAGCATCACATATCCATTTTAATTCAAATAAATTTAAATACAATCACATATAGTTTCAAGATTTTCCACACGGATTGCCAGAAAGAAAAATGTCTAAACATAATAATAAAATTTAGGTGAAATGTAGCAAAAAAAAAGGTTATTTATGTAAATGTTTTTAGGCTGAATGTCATTCCCTTCTCGGATTCTTTTATTATATAGAAATCGAAATCTGTACATATATGGTATGTAATTAACCTAATATGGTAATGTACAATAATGGTATGTAATTGTCCTAAATTGGTAACTACAATCGAAATATAATCTCATTGACAATTTAAATTCAATAGATCACCATCTGAACAATTGCAAGTTATATAACCGTTACACCAATAAAATCTTGTGATGGGCTATTTCTATGTTCATATATTGTGATTGTAAACAGCCTGCATCAAACTAATACAAATATATATTTCTCGAGTTCAATTATAATTAATAATTAAGAAAGCACAAGTTCAAGCTATAAACAGACTTCAATGCTTTTGTAACAGATATCTCTCATGTTAAAATAGCTTGCGAGCTCTATTCTTCAACAAAGTATAAAGTGACAGGAAATGAAGTATGTCATGTATAACTATAATGGGCAAAAACTTCTATAAACTAATTATGGGCTATCCAATTGCCGAATGAGCACAGGTCTTTTGCCATTGTAACATATAATGATTGGTGCATTTCTCACAAGTTAACTTGATCACCAGCTATTTTGAGTTGTACATAAAATTCTTAGCCATTATTATGATAACAAGACCCAACAGCAGTCGTGTAACAAAAAAATGATAAATGAAGTCAATGTAAAACCTCATGAGTTTCAAACGAAATAATGTATTAATAACTAGAAACTAGTTATTCGTAATTGTATACTTACTTCTTATGGTTCGAGAAACATGCATAGCTTCCGTTGCTCAATTTTCCAGGCTCCATTTTACCAAAGAAAAGCAAGGGAGCGAATTCTTTCGACCCCAGGGACCTCCACCTCGAAAATTTATTTACTGCCTTTTGTATTAACATTGAATTAGCTCCCCTAAAATGATGATTTCAAAACACTATTTAATACGAACCATTCCACTCCTTCGTTCTCAAGAAGACCTATAATTTTCCTGCAGACAGCAAGTTTAACACATTTAGTTATGTTCTCCAGTATAAAAGTACAGACAGAAATTAAATTATAGTACACAGAAATCTTCTTATGTAAATAGGGAAAATCTTTTGTAAATTTTTATTTTTCTTATTAACATAATATAATGGAAACAATGCATTTTCCCATAAAAAAATCGGTGGAACAACAAAAAGACGCAGAGTAAAAAAATAACATGTTATAAGTATAAAAAACAGAACTCTTTTTTCGAAAAGAAAACAAGAGTGATCAAAATAAATGCAGCAAACTATGAACCAATGGGACGAGCTGGAAAACTTGTTTGGAAAAATCAGTATAATCGTCTGACTGAACTTCCAATTATGATAAATACAGAACACAAAACAGACAGAAATCGAATTTACAACAAGTTACATACTTAAAAAAAGGAGCTTTTAGCACAGCTACACACGCTCAAGAAATTGAAGAAATTGGAGGTTATTTCGATATAGGAAGAATGTTTAATTAACAAAATTAACAATTTCTCGACCTCTGCTTCATCCTCATCTTAAAGAAATATATCCAACAAATAGCAAATACTTAAATAAATTCCAAAAACCCACTTCAAAAACGATATAATTCTCAAAATTACAACCAAAAAATCCCTCAAGAAAATTAATTTGCAACAGATAAAACTAACCTGAACAGAACGGAACAATTTATTGAAGATGAGATCAAAGAATTACGGAGGAGAATATCATTTTGAGAAGATCAGTTTATAGAATATCATCCCACATCGAAAGAAAAAAACAGAGAGCGGTTGAAAAGTACTATAAATTGAGAGAAGTGGCAACGATTTACATACTTACCTGGACGGGGTCAATGGGCGATCAGAAAGGCTCATGGCCTAGGTTGGCGAACTCCATTGCACTTTGGAGGGGCGCCTGTCTAAGGTCGGCCCAAGAGGTCGAGCCTACGTCATAATTTGTGATAGAGGGGGCCAGCGTTCGCGCGGTCCCTACCCGATTCTTAGTGTAAATCTATTTAAATGGGCCTTGGCTGTACTAGTTATATGCTTTTGAAAGTCTCTGAAGTGGGTTATCATTACATTACAATCGGGTCGGAGTTTTGGCGACTATGTATGGGATACCGTAACTGGGCCGAAACGATTATTTGCTAAATGGAAAGTACGTAAAACAAGTTTAGTTAAATCAGGTATAAATTTTATTTAATTAAAATTCAGGTTTTAATTTCACAATTAATATTAATAATGATGTTTTAAATTAAATTAATCTATACACCTACTCTATTAGGGATGACAAAAAAATCCGTTTACCTCGATACTCGTGGGATCCCATCCCATCGTCCGCCTAACCAGGTAAACGGGGACTGAACGAGGATCATTGCCTCGAAGTGGGTATGAGACGAGTACGGGAAACATAGTCCCCGTCCATTTAAAAGTAATTTTAAATTTAAATTTTTTATCAAATAAAAATAATAGATTTATCATATTTTTTAAGAGAACATAAGTTTTTTTAATAAATAGATAAAAAAGTAATAATATTTATTAATTAAAGACATAAAAAAGTTAAAAATAAAAAAATAAAATAAATGGGCCAAAAAACTTGCCCCGTCTCGTCCTGCTTTAATCGGATACGAGGATGGGGTAAGGTAACAAAAAAACTCGACGGGACGGGAATGAGAATGGTCAACCCGTCCCACACCCGTTCCTTTGCCACCCCTATATCCCACCAAATGTCAATCCCAATTTTCACCCCCTCCCCCTCCCCCT